AATGCATAGTGGATCCATCAGCTGGTCTATGATGTACATGCAGTGTGTGTGAAAAACAAGCATGTGTTGTTCTAAACCACTTTTTGTGGTGCAACCTATTTTGAAAAGTGCATTCAATAAAACTTGAATTAATATGAGTAAATCTTTTTAAAAAGATAATTTAAATAATAAAAATCATTTCTTGATTTTGTCAGTTCTTTATTAAAGCTCCTTTTATCATTAGAAAAACTTACAATAAAGACAAGGGGAGAGAACAGTTTTCTATGTCATTGTCATTTTTTTCTGCTTCCATTTAAAACTGTAAGGCGGGACTATATAAAACTTAAAAAAAATCTGCACCACAAGGGAAATCATCAAAATGAAAAGGCAATGTATGTAATGGAAGAAAATATTTGCAAACCACACATCCAATTAAGGATGTTTATTTACAAAATATACAAGTAAATCATACCATTCAAAGCAAAAGATCAAATAACCCAAAGTAAAAATGGGCAAAGGAGCTAAAAACAGATATTTTTTCCAAAGAAAACATACACACTGTCAACAGACACATGAAAAGATGCCCATCATCACTAATTATCAGGCAAATCTAAATTAAAACCACAATTAGACATCATCTCGCAACTGTTACAATGGATGTCTTCAAAAACACAAAAAACAATGAGTGTTGGCCAGGATGTGGAGTAAAGGGAAGCCTGTACACTGTTGGTGGGAATGTAAATCAGTATAGCCCTCATGGAAGACAATATGGAGGCTCCTCAAGAAATTATAATGGGAACTATCATATGATCCACTCATCCAATTTTGGGGTATATATTTTAAAAAACCCAGCACACTCATTATCTCAAAGAGATAACCTGCACTCCTATATTTATTGCAACATTATTCACAACAGCCAAGTTTGGAAATAACCTAAGTGTTTATCAACAGTTGAATGAAAAAAGAAAGTGTGATATATATCAAATATTCCATTATATCATATATATGATATATATATGATATAATGGAATATTTTTTTAGGAACCAAAAAGGGAAATTTTGTGATTTACAATAGTATGGATAAAGCTGAAGGGCATTATGCCAAGTTATATAAGCCAGACAGAGAAAGACAAATACTGCATGGTATTACTTTATATATATAGAGTTTTAAAAAATGAACTCATAGAAACAGTAGAAAAGTAGTTGCCAGGAGCTGGGGGGTAAGGGAAATGAGGAGAGATTGGTAAAAGGCTACAAAATTTCAGTTATGAGATGAATAAAGTCAGAGAATCTATTATATAACCTGAGGACTATAGCTGATGACTCTGTATCATGTAATTGAAATTTGCTAAAAGAGTAGAACTTAAATGTCCTCAGTAAAGACAAAAAAAAGTGAGCTGATACATGTGTTAATGAACTCAGTGGGGTAAATTCTTTAACAATATACAAGTATATCAAATCATTATTTGGTACATTTTAAGTATCTTACTATTTAATCTGTCAATTATACCTCAATCAAGCTGAAACGTTTTAAATTAAAATTTTGTATTTTACTTATAATCTGAAGATTACTAATTAGTAAAATATTTGTTTACCCTAAAAACTCCCTGTCCACTCTGAGTAAAATATATGCAATCTATGAAAGTACCTATTCCATTTACTAATGTAAAAACCTTCTGACAGAAATGCTTAAAGGCATATTTTTCACTTTCCTGAATTAACCAATCTAAAAAATGATTCTCTAGGCTAGTATTCTTTCTTGTGTCTCAAAAACCAGGAATGGAAAGCTCATGTCATTTAGCAACCCTGCACTGGGTATCGTGTGTGTGTGTGTGTGTGTGTGTGTGTGTGTGTGTGTGTGTATGTGTGTGTGTATTTTCATGTGGTGGTATCTATTCATTTCGAGTCAATTTATCCTTTATTCTATTTTTCTGTGTCTTTACCATTGGACACATTTCTTTTCTAAACAAAGTTACTGACAATTTTTCGTTTGCACATTGCAATTACAGTCAAATGAATTTCAAAGGGGTTGTTATGTTTCCTTTCCCTTAATTTTCATTTCTTTAAGCAGGAAAGACAATATTCTGAAGACATCTGTTCTTTTCAAGGAGTTCCTGAGAAAGTAACTAAAATATAGTTCTAAAAAGTAGCAATAGTACAAAAAGAGGTTTTTTGTGTGTGTGAAATAATGCAGTACCTTTGTAGGGGGCAAATTCAAAAAAATCCTAGATTTCACTTGAATATGAAAAGCTTTTTCTAACTAAGTCCATCAATTTAAAATTCTTGGATAAAGGAATAAGGACCCCAAACTCAATCACGATCACTTGAAATTCAAAAGTAAATTTTTCATTCAACTAACAAATACCATTTACCTTGTCTACTTAATATTTTAAGATTAATTTCCTCTAATGAGAAATAAACATTAATGAAGGGAATTTCAGGATTTCAGATGTCAGAATACTTATGTGTCCCATCTGCACAATTAATTGTGATTTATAAAACTGAATAAATTATCGTGATGATAGTTTGTCCTTTTTAAGAGGTATTAAAACTGGCTAAAAAGTAGACATTATTATGAATAAACTTCCTGATGAAGCTACAGAGACATGAGTTTTAGTAATCAGAAAGTCTTATGTGCTCTGTTAATTATCATCTTTTCCTCTCTTCGTGCTCTGAGAGCAACTGAAGGACTGGAGGAGTTGATCAAGCACAGTCTTGTGGCTAATTGAGCATTGCTGTCTGAATCATTTAATAGTTAATTATTTTTTTCCTTCTGTATTTGACTAAAATTGCTCCAGACAGGGCAGTTCTCAAGGATTTATTCAAAATCAGCATTTTTCTAACATGTGAAAGTCAAATGCAATTTTTAAAATTGAAAAGTAAATTACAAACTTGGTTAAAAGCTTGCAAAAAAAAAAATCCATTTCCATAGGTAGGTTTCCTTCAGGATAATATAATCTTAGTCTCAAAAATTTGCAAATTCAGAGAAAAAATGCACATGTTGAATTAGAAGATGTTTATTTAAATTATTCTACTTGAAGTAAAGCATATAGGTTTCCATAGAAATCTACTTGGGATAGATTTCATACCAAATTAAAAACCTTCTATTTGGGGGACACCTGGGTAGCTCAGCCAGTTGAGCCTCTGACTCTTGGTTTCAACTCAGGTCATGATCTCACCGTTTGTTTCCTGGGTTTGAGCCCAACGTCAGGCTCTGGGCTGGCAGAACCTGCTTGGGATTCTTATCTCCATGTCTCTCTCTGTCCCTCCCTCGGTTACCCTGTCTCTGTCTCTCTCAATATAAATAAATAAACTTAAAAAAAACCCTTCTGTTTTTATATTACTTTATACTCACAGCTTTATTTTTTATTTCAAAAAAGTGAGTTAAACTTTATTATATGCTATATGGTGCACTAAATGTTGAAACACAGACTAAAATAACATCAGGTCATTCTCCTCAAAGACTTGGTGGGTTGTTGGAACAATCAGCACATAAACACAGGATCATACTTCATAAAGTTATAGCAGAGCAACAGCAAACTTTAATTGTGGAGTTATTGATCATGAAAGTTATTTGCTTTTCCATATTAAATGGCCCTTGTGGTGGACAAGTATTTGTGACTCTAGAAAATAGTATATGGATTTTAGGCATCCTTACCAGAGGAACCCAGGAAACTGTGAGATAAAACAATCAAAGCTCCATGTTTTATAAAATGTAATTCAAATATAAAAGTTAAATTTTCAAAATTAAAATGAAATATAATATATTCACTTATATAAGTATATGTTTCCCTCTCTAAAAACTGATTTACAAATATTTTCTACGATCTTCCAAGCAAGAGTAATGCTATAAACTATTTGAAATTTTCATACTCACAGCTTCTGTAAGAGCTTTTGTTATATATAGCATATCCAAAATGGGAATTAATATCAACATTCAGTGATTAAATCTTGCTTTTTAATTTAGTAGATCATATATGTAGAAGAAATCAGAAAAAAGTCCTATGAATAGTATAGTAAACCCTTGATTATAGGTATATTAATCAGAGTAGAATATGGTAAAATAAATTCATTCATTGTTATATTTTCAATATTTAGTTAAATATTAAATATGATATAATGTTAATAAAAACTGCCTGGGGTATTATTATGTGCCACTCTTAATACACTTTTATTTTTCACTTTACCTCCCAAAACAATTAAAGACTTTAATGCAGAAATAAATCATGAATACAATATTCCAAATGTGTTTAGAGAAAGGAAATATACTGTCTTGTATGATCATGAATATGTCCTTGTCCTTTGCTATAGACTTTGAACTATTTTGGGTTTTTTCATAAGGGACCAGACGTAGAGGGGAATTTCAGTTTGCATGTTTGATCTGAACTAAGTCAGACAGTCAAAAAAATGTTGTGATGGCTTGAGGTGTTTAAATAGAACTCTCATCCTCATGAATTGTGCATTTCTGATGAATCCAAATAATATATCTAGCGTGAATTTAGATGGATCTAGAGCAATTTTGGATGGAGGTTTTAATAACATAACTAATGAGGGGGCTTGGATAGGATATTTTTTTCTGATGACATGCTGAAGTAACATTTCCTTCTTTGTCCACATACATCACTTTTATATGCTGAAGTCTTCCACTATATACCTTTTTACCTTCTCTCTATCTTGTTTATTTACTCATATTTTAATTGGGATTCTCATCAGTTTGGGAGCCAGATTTTGAATATCATGGGCAGAGAAGATTAAAATATATATTTTTGAGATAAACACTTAGATAAACTCATATAATAACATGATTATTGCTATGTGCAAAAATAAAATTTTAGGAAAAGGCATACTGATCCAAGATCTCAAAGCTGTCAAAGAAGTAGTGACTAAAAAGCCAAACAAAACAAACTAGTTATTTTATAATAATTTTATACTTTACTAAAGTGTGCTTTCTTCTCAAATATATGTCAAAGAAATAGATACTTTTTTTCCTATAATTCTATATATTTTCTTTTCCTTTTTAGGTGACTCAAACATCTACTATTCATGATGTTAAACAAAAATTCCACAAAGCATGTAAGTTTTATATATAATTTAGAATTTATGCTACATTTTTCTCAATTTGGTTCAAATGTATCTGTAAAAATAAATTCAATGTTATGATGGAAATAGTTATGGAAACCATGATTTTACATGAAATTTAGAAGTAATATGGTAAATATCTCTTGACTCTGAGCATTTTCATATCTAACTCTCTTATACACAATATTTTAGCTTTTCACAAAATTATTTTCTCTTTTATATTTGAACATTTTTAGTATAACAAGAAACACTCTATATGTAAGAAGTATTAATTGATATGAAGTTTTTTATTTATCTGTAAACAAAATACTAAGCACAACTTTTACTGAGTGTTTTTATTTTTTTATTTTTTTTTTAAATGTTTTATTTATTTCTAGGAGAGAGAGAGAGAGACAGCGTGAGCAGGGGAGGGTCAGAGAGAGAGAGAGTCACAGACTGAAACAGGCTCCAGTCTCCGAGCTGGCAGTCAGCACAGAGCCTGACGCGGGGCTCGAACCCACGAACCACGAGATCATGACCTAAGCGAAAGTCGGATGCTTAACCGACTAAGCCACCCAGGCGCCCCTACTGAGTGTTTTTATATTGGTCAAATCTATTTTACAAAAGAATTCTTTATACAATAAATTAAAATTATACTATGTAATTTTATTAATAGCTAAATTTATCCCATTAAGAGGTTTCATTATTACTGGAAATATTCATATGAGGTTTGTTTAAATTCAATTTTTTAAACCTTTCCCATAAAGTTTACTCACTCATAAAATAAACATAGTGAATGTGTCTATATTTACTAGAAGGCACTTTTTATATACTTCAATTTCAATGAAGTTTTAGATTCATAGCAAAACTAAGCAGAAAATACTCAGAGTTCTTATATACCCCCTGCTGTCACATACAGTTTCCCCTATCAACTTTCATATCAGAGCAGGACATTGGTTACAATCGATGAGCTTACGCTGACACATTATGTCCAGAGTCGAGGGCTTATATTAAAGTTTACCCTTGGTGTTGTACATTGTATAGTTTTTGCTAGTGATCATTTTCGATTTCTTATATTTAGTGGAACACTAGTTCTTTGCTGAAAATATTCTTAAAGCTTAGTATTTAATGCTTTAAACTATTTAAATATATCTTAGAGTAAAATAGGTAGAATTTCTATTTTTTTATTTAAAAAATGTTTAATATTTATTTATTATTGAGAGAGAGACACACACACAGAGTGCGAGTAGGAGAGGGTCATAGAGAGAGGGAGACACAGAATCTGAAGCAGGCTTCAGGGTCTGTGTTGTCAGCACAGAGCCCAACGCGGGGCCAAACTCACAAACTGTGAGACTATGACCTAAGCCCAAGTCGGCCACTTTAACCAACTGAGCCACCCAGGCACCCCCCAAAACAGGTAGAATTTTAGAAAAAGCATATACACTATGGAACAGAATTATTTGAAATATGTTTAACCTGTTAAAAATTCTTCAAGAACGTAAGTTTTAATATTCACCACAAAGACATGTAAGATTTGAATATGCAGAAATAAAGCCAGAAAAGCATTATGGTAAGGAAAAGGGAACAAGAGAAGTGCCAAGATTTGTCATGGAATTAATTTTCTAACTTTTAGCATGATAAAATTCCCTGTATATTTATGCTACTACTTCTAAATTATTGAAAATTTTTTCAAACTCCAAATTTGTGCTTTATCACATACATATGTTAGCCATGCTATCCTATTATTTACACAAGTATTTCTTTATATATTAATGAACTTGTTTTGAGTTATCCCTATCTTCACATAAAATATGGACCTCAAACTACTAATTGAATTGTCACCGTTGGAAAGACTTAGACTAAACTTATCTAATAAGATGGTTTCAGAAAGTTTAGATTGTTAACAGTGAGTGAGAAAACATTTGAAAATGATGTTACTATAGTGTAGAAAGTTGAAAGAAAAATGATTGTATTTAAATTAATAGTAACAACATAATAAATATATGGTTTCTCTTAGTGTATGGAAATGAAGAAATGAACCAAAGGCTATTGCATGTGTGGAAGCAATATGCACTTACCTTGATTACTATCCTCTGATTACTTTTATGAGTCTGTAATATATAGACATATTTAACAAGAAATTCATTTTACAAGAAATGTTAAAATTTTTGAACCAGAAGTTCTGTATTTATGTGGTCCAGAGCCTGTTTCTAGTAATAAGTGAAGTTAAGTAGTTTATGAAAAATCTTAGAAATGTCCAGCATCAGAACTGGATAATTAAAAATATGACAATAATGTGATTAGTTTTAATAGCTATATCAAGACTTAAGGATTTCTTGATGAGTAATATTTTACTCATTTTCCTAAGCATAGTTCTAATCTTTAATAACTTTATGTAAACTGTGACCTTTTCACTTTTTAAAAATTCCTGTTAATATGAAAAGTATACCCATCACTTAAAAATTAATATTCAGTAATCTGCACTAATTATACTATATTTTATGTAGCCAACATGAAAAAATGCTCAACCTCACTAATTATGAAGACAATGTAAATTAAAACCACAATGTCAGCACCTCTTATCTCCCAGAATGGCTATTATCAAAAAGACAAGAAATAAAAAGTGTTGGTGAGGATTTAGAGAAAAGGGAACCCTCATGCACTGTTGGTGGGAATGAAAATTGGTGCAGCAACTGTGGAAAATAGTATGGAGGTTCTGCGAAAAATTAAAAATAGAAATACCATGTGATCCAACAATTCTCCTGGTGGGTATTAATCTAAATATAACAAAAGTGCTAATTCAAAAAGATAAATGCACGCCTATGTTTACACGGCTTTATTTATAATAGCCAAGATATGAGAGCCTAAGTGTCCACCTAAGTATCTATCAGTAGATGATGGATAGAAAAGCTATGCCACACACACACACACACACACACACACACACACACACACACTCACTGGAATTTTCATCAGCCATTAAAAAAGAATATCTGTTCGTAACAGTGGTCTATTTATCTCTGGGTAGACCTAGGGAGTATTACGCTAAGTGAAATAAGTAAGACAAAGACAAATACCATATGATTTCAGCATATGATTCACTTTAAAATCTAAAAACCAAAACAAATAAATAGACAAACCAAAACAGGAGACTCATAAATACAGAAAACAAACTGACCATTCTTACAAGGAAGGGGTTAGAGGCATAGAATACATAAGTGAAAGAGATTAAGAGGTGCGATCTTATACTTATGAAATAAATAAGACATGGGGATGTGGTGTACAAGATAGGGACTAGTCAATAATATTGTAAAAACATTGTATGGTGACAGACAGTAATTTTATATATTGTGGTGATTATTTCATAATATATATAGGTTTTGAGTCACTATGTTGTACACCTGAAACTTATATAATATTATGTGTCAATCACACTGCAATAAAAAAGAAATATAATATTCAGGCAATTTGGATTCATTATACTCTATTTCAAAAAGGTATTGGTCTTCAAGTTTTACAAAGCACAAAAACACAATTTTTTGCTGTATTACATTATAGAGAATTATGTTAGTCAATTAAATTGGACATTGTGTTTAATATATTTACCAAATATTAAAGGGCAAGCAAAATGTGTTGCTAACACTAACAATTTTACAATGCTAAAAATGAAACAAAGAAAGTTATATGTTGATTGCCTTAATATTTTACGTTTAGCATATTAAAATTTTTTTAATGTTTATTTATTTTGAGAGACAGAGCTTGAGTCAGGAGAGGAAGAGACAGAATGAGACACAGAATCTGAAGCAGGCTCCAGGCTCTGAGTGGTCCTCAGGGAGCATGATGAGGGGCTTGCCATACTGTGAGATCATGACCTGAGCCAAAGTCGGACACTTACCAGCTGAGCCACCCAGGCGCCCTTATTTAGCATATTTAAAACCCAATAACATTGAATGCCTTATTTTCATAAATATATTCAAATGATAATAATCTTATATATGTGACTACAATTGTTAGATTTTTTCAAACTCACTTCTTTACTTCCTGACACGGAATAAATTTTTTATTATGACACTTCTGATGCTGTTTATTTTCAGGCCCTGCAGTTATAACAGGAATTGCTAATCGTGTAAGAAAAAACACGACTCATCAGAGGACTGGGTTTCCTGAGGGGAGAGTTCTCCTCATATGTTTTTTATCTCTATTCTCTTTTCTCTTCGGTGTTTTGACTGATCTTGATTTCTAGTCTCCCTATTATTTTTCTTTGTGTCAGCTTTATCTTTTTCTTAGTTCTACTTTAAAATTTTATTTACTGTGATTTTTCCCCTGTATATGACTATTTTTTCCTCTCCCAGGGTTTCTAATTTCTTAGTTTTGCTTTATTATAAGAATTATCTTTTAGATTACCTTGGAGACTTCATGGCCCTCAGACTGGTGAAAGAAATAGAATAGGGAGAAAACTAATGAAAATATTAGCAGCAAGGTAAGAGGAAAAGAGGATGGCTTCATGAAAAAGTGATTCTGATAAAGCTTTTAATGATATATATCCACACACACAGATATCTATTTCTTAATGCATGAAAATTCATGAAATGCCTCAGCTGCAATACTCCACTAGTCTTTCTTTACCTCCACACATTTCTTTATTCACATTTGTTACTATTGTTCTTGCTTGTATCTTGAAGCATCTCCTATAGAGTCTCAAAGATCATCGTGCTCAGTCCCTATATGTCATGCTCTACTTTCATATTCTCACGAAGGTTGTGCAGAAGAATTAAACCTTGTGGTTAAACCCAAATTGAAAACTTAAGAATCATTCAAGGTCCAAGTGCCACTCTGACTAAAACTATGTGAATATTTTCTAAGATTTCAAAGGATTAAAAACAACTCTCCATGTTAAAACAAAACAAAACAAAACAAAATAAAACTCTTCCATACTCTATCTGAGTAGCATTACCTTACTTCGTATTACTCAATTCAACTCAATTCCATGATTTCTTTGTTTTAAATTAAATTTA